TGCTTAAATTTCCCTATTCAATAGATCATATAGTTGAAAAATTGGAAACATTGCACAATCAATTTAAATTGCATAGTATCTATACAAATTCCCTCTTATGAAATGATACCTGATTAATGTAATTAAATCACAAATTAACGCTAATAGATATTTCGACTGAAAATAAAATGAAACCAAATAAATCAGTTAAGATTAGTAGAAGGAAATTGAATTCGACAAGTAGGCATTATGTCGGAAGCATGTATCGAGTTAACACATCATAATTTAGTAGTTGGATTCATGAGTCAGTTGAAGCTAGACTGCCATGGAAAACATGGAAGCAATAAATGGCCGTTTCGTCCTAGTATGGGACTCCTCAGCAGCGCACATCCACGGTCCCGCCTCTCGAGATTCGAATCCAGGGCCTGTCGGTCTCTCGTGCGAACGCTTAAACCCTAGACCACTGAGCTGGCATCCATCGGTGTTAATGTCTATTTTCAACCAATCCACGAAATCGCGCCATCATCCACCAATGTCTTTAATGAGTTGCCATCTCACAGCAGACCCGGTTGAACTCCATTGGCTACGGCTTCTCACTAGAACTCTGAGAAATATCTCTTGGAGACCGTCACCAATGAGCATATGATGATTATAATCAGAGAGGGGTTTTGTGGATATTATAGTAATTTTAATAGTTGATATTATGAGTCAATTGAAGCTAGACCTTCATAGAAACCCCGAAAGAACTGAAAGGCCGTTTCGTCTTAGTTTGGGACTCCTCAATAGTCCGCGTCCACAATTTATTAAGTAAATATTTCTTTCATGTTACATATTAGAAACATATTTATTTAGTGAATGCTTACTGACAATTTTTGGGATAGAACATGTTATTAATCAAGTGTTTCATTTAATAGACAATATGGAAGTGATGACATGAAAAATACACTCATCTTCTTAGTTGTGGTTCTAAAATTAAATTAATATTCCAATTATTAAAATCAAATTGATTAAGTTAGACCCTGTAACAACTCCGAATACATTTAGAGAAATAGTGGTCTAACAATGATTTAGTGTTCGAAAGTCAAGTCTATTTATAAGTTACAATATCCAGCTAAGTTAGATTGTTTAATTCACATTTATTCGTATCTACTTATATAAAGCATAATAAATTAATGTTTAGTAATATAAACCACTTTGGACAAAAATACCGTTTAAGGATGAAACGTAATTGTATTGATAAACTATTTTCACTACTAAAACTAGTGGTAAGTTTTAAAAGTCACTTATTCTCAAATAAACCGGTTAAATTGATTTGTCCGACTGTCAGAAATTTATGTAATACACATGAGAAAATCATTCATCATACCTTTAATAAATTATTACAAAAGTTACTCTCATGTCAGTGTTCGATGAAAAAATGAAAGGGTAGAAAAAAGCCGGCACAGATAAAAGAAAGAAAATACAGTAACTAGTTTGTTATTATGAGAATTTAACTGTTTAACTGCAAGGCACTCATTATCTATCCTAACAATATTATTAATACCTAGAGGTGAGCTTTCCATTTACACTATGGGTTTAAAAAAATCATGCATTGAAACTCTATAACATAGTCAAATTTGAACAAAAGAACTATAAAGAATACTAGGTTAATACTAAGTTGCAGTAACCGCGGAAACTGATATTCGAAACTGTAAGCATTCAGATTTTTACGACACAAGGAAAAAGACCAACAATAATGGAAGAAAAATATCTTCTCACCCTCCAAAAATACATCAACCAATTGATAGAAATACTCATAAATCGATTTTACTAACTCTTTTGTTATTAGCTAACGAATATCACACATAATAGAGATACAGGAAATAAAAAATGAACATACAGTGAAATTAGCCCTTGTAGGCTGAAAAATCCCATGTTTTAAACAACGTTCTGTCATTACGCCTACTTCATTGTAGTTTAAATTGGCTTAGTCAGAAAAATTATCCAACTATAAAATATTTCCTTTAAACTAAATTATCTGTGATCGGACATTTGTTAAAGTCATGTTTAGTTCGAGTCATTTAAAGCTCTTAACAAAAACATTATTATCACTTCCTTAAATAGGAATTACGTTTTTGTACCTTTACTTATTTTACCTCATTGTTGCCATGTTTAGTAAAATTCTTATAATCACTATCATAGCCATTATTATCATTTCGAGAGAAAAATAAGCATATATTTGCTATTATAAGGTTTTCAAAATAAATTCACCGAAAAGAGCACTTTTGCTGAATTAATCTTCCTGATTTTATGTCTCAACAGGTATATCACGTTCGAATATATCACTTCTACTTCAAGTTAGTGATGATGATATTATTCAGGAGAATAATGAAAACTTTATGACTGATCCATTCAACTTAGACAACGAAACTTTACTAAAAACCTGTCATCAATTTTACACGAAAGTTTTGAAGAATAACATTTTAATAATAACGAAAATTTTAAAAAGTGACCTTTCTTCGTATGTACGTGTCGAATGATTCAAATATATATTACTTAATTGTATTGAAAATAATTTTTGTAAACATTAGGAAAATGTTTGGATAAACTGTTTACTGGCAAGTCAACCACGCCCATCAATACAATTTACTTATGTAATCGCAAACACAGCTCATTCATTTTGTTTCAAATGTTTTTTAGTAAATAAGATGCTTTTATTATTTCATGTATGTATACTTAACACACTTGTGTAAAGTACAAAATTAATTTCCGTTATCTTCGGTAAACAAACCACAGATAAAACACACTTAAAATCCTCATGCTTGATATATCACTATACGGATGTGGAACTTATAAACTAACAACTAATTGAAGTTGTTGAACTAAAGTATCTCCTATACGACTCCTATGTAGAAAATAAACTTCGTCTCTGTGTTTCTGTAAACTAATCCATCACTACAATGCAAAGGTACAGAAAACGTAGACGAATTAGCTTATAATATAAACAAAAACAATTTTTTTCCACTTGACTTTACGAGGGAAATATTAAGTTCTACTCGTAGAGGATTGAGTTATCGTTTTTTCCGTTTGAACATGATACATTTTAAGATATCCAGAAATTTCTCCATTCATCAACCTGGAAAGTTTTAGGTATTTGAGTAACAGAATCTTACAACCTTACAAAGAAGAATCACCTCCTATTTTTATCCCTATCCCAATCTTAATATTTTACTAGTATTTTCAACTTCAAACTATCATGTTCAAATGGTTTTATCTATCCTTTCACTTAACCTATATAACATTCTTCTTTGCATGAATACAACTTCAAAAATAGTCAATCCCGTAAACAAACTGTTCATTTTTAATTTGCTAAAACGCTTCTGATAGTGATGACGATGATGATGTTCAATCATTGGAGAAAAATTTAAATCTCTTGTGTTGTTATGGCTATAATTTTGAACAGCTGACTATTTGTGTTTTGGCTTTGTTAATGGTTGGGTTATCATTTTACTTTTGAGGCAGTTACACAACCAGAAATATTTTAATTGTTTACCAAAAGCTTAGGATCAATTTGGATATAGGCAAGAATCTTTAAACGTATACACTAACTGAATAAGTTCTCTAAGAACTCATTCAAATAGATCCGTCCATAGTATTGATATACAATATAAATTATTGGAGAAAATATTTTACTGAATTCATGAATAAATCAATGTTAGACCATCATTGGTGAATTGAAAGCACTGAACGGACGTTTCATCCTACAAGGGACTGCTCGGCAGTGAGCGTCCACGATCTTGCAGGCGGGATTTGAAATAAGGGCCTTAAGCTAGACGTTATCACGTAGTCTACAGACCACCAAGCCAGCGTCTAACGGCGTTAATGTCTAACTTCAACCAATCCACGATATTGCTCAACCATATTTCATTGTCTTTCAGTGGGTAACTGCCTCACAGCCGACACGGTTGAACCCCATTGTTCACGATTTCTCATTAGAACCTCCAGAATCCCCTCTCAAAACTAGTCAACAATCTCCCCAATGAGAACTGGAAAAAATGTTTTTTTGTACATAGATAACAAAATGACATCTATCAAAACTCACTACATGTAAATTATTTAAAACCTGCTAATTCGGTGCCGAAAATTTGTAGAAATTTTTTAAAACAAGAATTAAATAAACGGTATCCGGTGGTTAAAGAGCTTTCAAACATATGTGCCTTGTGATAAGACGAACACATTTAAATGCTACTATTTTAATATCGTTCGGTTGTTCGCTATTAAGTACTTGGTCGAGTATTCATTCAAAACATATTTCTTTGAAATCCCACTAATCGATTAAGAAGTTACAATAATTACAGTAAATTAAAACACTTACCTCACAAACTATGTTAGTTGAAGATGATACTTGTTGAACGCTCCTACAAGTTCTATGATTGACAAATTAAATTAATTGATTTAAATAATCTAATTCTGTTGTTAGAAGGTTGAAAGAAGTAGACAAAAAACTTTGAACCAATATGTAATGCTAATGTACATGAAATCGAGCTATTTAAACTAGTTCCTGCATTCTAAATCACTCAGACCCAATAAAAAAATATCATAGTGATTACTACTTAGTGAATAATTATTTAGGTTTACTTCTGTCTTATCCATTTCTGAAAAAAATCTATTTTTCTTTACAAGATACTACTATTTATAAGCGTTAATAGTGAAGAAAAATAGAGAGAAAAATTAAGAAAAAAAAGCTTGTTTTAATGAAATATGCATGTTAGAAACTATTTTGTTCTCACTGAATTGATACAATCAACTTTTATTAAGATTCAATATTATGCATAACAAGACGACACATTAAAAAAAAGGAAAAGAAAAGTTGAATCATTCAAAAATCTGATATACTTATATACACGATGATTATCTACATCCTTTCATAAATACAATATGCTTAAATGCATTAGCATATTCTTTATTATAAAATCCATAAATAAAAGGATTAAAAATACTATTTAAATAACCTAACCAAGTAACTATAGCATATAATTCCTCTGAAAATGTACAATCACATAATGCTTCACTTAAATAAAATATAAAAAATGGTGTCCAACATATAGTAAAACATCCTATTACTATAGTAACAGTTCGAACTGTTTTTTGTTCTCTATTAAATATAAATTTTTCATATAATTGTTGTGTTTTTAGAATTTTTTTATGTTTTCCTTTATAAACAAATTTATTATGTAATAATGATAGATTTTTATGTTTATGTAAATCATGAAAGTTCGATAAATAAAATATTGATTTTATATATTGATACATTTTAAAAAAACTTGAACTGATTCCATGGAAACATCGATTTCTTGATGAATGATGTTTATTTGATAAATTTTCTTGAATTGTAATTCATCAATTAATTCATGTTCTGTTATAGGTATATGAAATATATGTAAAACTTTTAATTTGGAATCAACAGGTTCTGGTTCATTAATTTCTAATTCATTAGATAGATCATAATGTAAATCCATTTTATTTGTATGATATATATCTATACTATCAGTACCATAATTTGTACAACTACATGTATATGAAAATGTATCTATTACATCATAATCATTACTATTAGTATTATTTAAATGAAGTAAAGATATATCATTATTCAATTTATTATTTGTTTTTATACATTGTCTTGATATATGATTAGTAATTTTTAATCGAAGTGATATTTTGGCACAATTTAACGATGATATTAAATTTGATAAATTATTCCAACTATTTTGTTTTTGTGAATGAATTTCAAATTGATTAAATACTTTTGAACGTCTTTTAATTATATAAAATATTCTTAAATGTACATAACCAATCAAGATTATAGGTAGAAAGTATGCTAATACTGATGAATAGATTCTATATTCTTTACTATAACTTATATAACAACAACCAATTCCAGTTATATGTTTATCTACTCCAAATAATGGTGGTAATATAGAAAAACTTGGTATAATCCATGCTATTAGTATCATTATAATTGATATTCGACGTGATTTTTTTGTAATATATTGTAATGGATAACCAATTGCAATATATCGATCGATTGATATACAACATAAATTAAATATAGATGACATACACAAAAATATATCAGAGGTAATATAAAATTGGCATAAAATTGCTGATTCAAATGGCCAATAACCAATATTTTGACGTATAATTGCAAATGGTAAAACAAAAACAGATACAAGAAAGTCAGCTAATGCTAATGAAGCTATATATTGATCACAAATTCGTCTAAGTTTATTTCTAGTTGCTACACATAAAATAATAAGTAGATTACCAAAAAATATAATCATTGTAGCTAATGTTAAACAACTTGTTATAATATTATTTGTAATCTTCCAATTTGTATAATTTAAAATGAAATAACAAGTTGAAATGTTTGTATGTTCTTGGAACATATAAGACGAATTGGTATTGTTGTTTAATGAAGTCATTTCCAAGTTATTATGGTATACAAATAATTGAAATGAGATTTATTCTCTTCATTTGTTCTTCATATATATATATATAACCGTTTCTGTCTGAAAGTATAATTTTCAAGTTACAAACATAATAATATTAGAGAACTAGTGATTGGTTTAAGTGTAATTCAAGTATGTGCACAATTTGTATATGAGCAAACTTTCAAAGAACTAAGAAAATATTAGTTTAATTGGCTGCAAAGAATTTCCACGTGAGATTCGATTAGTTGAATTCTATGGAAAACATTAAGTTTTGATTGGATGCGGAATTTTCTTTCTCATTTTATGTGATTGAATAACTGTATACAGAAACACTAAGCTGACATTATTACTATGGTTATTGTGATTCATGACGCCTATTGATGGACATTTAGATTTATGATTATAAATAAGTTACTCACTAATTTGTGCTACAAAATATCTGCTCATGTAATTAAGAACATACTTTTCGTTATTTGTAATAATTCAATAGTACATTATTATAATCTAATTAGTTGAAAATGATCTACTATAAACTGTTTTGATCGGAAGTTAAAATTCACATGTTAACGTTAGAATTTTATTATTTTAATATCAGTCTGTTGGATGGTTTCATTTTCGTGAAACATGAAATTACAATTTAAAAAGAAAAAAGATTCTTACTAGTTATTATTTGAACACCATATGATACAAATGGTTGTTAATAGGCATTATGATAAACAGTAGCTTCTGTTTTCTTATTGATCACATAGAAACAGAACTTGATTCGTTTCATTATGTCGATTGAATTTGCCAATTATCATAACAAAAGAAAATCGTTAAGAATTATGTGAATATTATTTCGTCCTCAATGGTGAGACTATGTATATCATTCAATGGAAACGCAAAAAAAAAGAAAAAAATAACGACTATTTATTGGTTATCATGATAACTTTCTTGTCGATAGACCAAGATTTTTAATTTCAATAGTGATTATTATAATTCAAAGCTAATAAACTCATATATACACAAGGATAAGATTATCCTTCGTTGAATGATTACAATGAATTATTTAGCTTGTTATTTAAGCTGGTAAAATGTGTTATATTTGCTTAAACATATAAAAAATTACCATGGTAAGATTATGTAAACAGTATATTTCTTTAGCTTAAAACATATGTTGGGTCTAACATTGCTAAGTCAACAATACATTAGACTTTCGTGAATGAATAATAACTTAAGAGAAAGGAACAAAGAAGGGAGTTAGTTTTGTAAATATTAATGTTTAGTACAGGTAAAGTTTTCTTTTTTTTCTATCACTTAAAATAGTGGTAAAAATAACCGAAATATTGTGTTCTCAATTATTATAGTCTGTAATCAAATAAATAGTTGTTGCTTTCAACTTGGTGTTTAGAATCTGTAAAAAGTTGACTTAACTCAATAGACACTTAATATGTTTTAATACAGATGTAATAAATGTAACATTCTATATAATTGTATACAATGAACTTTTAGCATAAATTAAGTACTTACAAATTCGTAATGACGTAATATTCCCTTCTTAAAAAATATATATGTGACTTAACGAAACAAGTGAGGTTGTTTTTTTCGAATAAATGATCTATCGGGAAAAAAAATAGAATATACAGAAAACAAGATGGAAATAACCAATATAAGAAATCATATAATTACATAAGTGAACTATGATGAAGTTGTTTGGAATCGCTAAGCTACAATGGATTCAGTTAAGTACACTAGGTATTATTCATATTTAAATAAACCATTCAGTGAGTTATTTTCAAGAAGTTATGCTTATCAACCATTCCTAAATGCCCTGGTACGGCCGAGGGTGGGGAGATTCAGCTTACACACACACATACACTTGTGTGGCGCATATGTATTCGGTGCTCCTTTGTGACAATATTTATGTATTCTAATAAATAAATAAAAAATACCCAACTATGTCAGTGACCATTTTAATTAAATGCTGTTGATTGTAGTAATAATAAGCTTTTAAAAGGAACTGGGTTTATTTTGCTGTCGAGGTTGTGAAACTTTAATAAATCTATTCTACGAAGGTTTCCAATGAAATGTTAGTATAATTTAAATGAATCGTCGTATAGGAATCTGTCAATCATACACATCTCTTCATGTTCACCTGTTTAATTATTTAATTTGAAGTTTTCAACATTTATAGTGATGGAGCAAATCTATGTAATGAAATAATAATGAATTATGATACGGTATTTAATAAAGATAAAACTGTCGTTTAACCCTTTTACTGAATTCCACTTGTTCATCTAGTTAACATAAAGCATAACCGAAAAGTCTAATTTCTATTATGGCAGAAATCAGTAATCTGTAGAACATAAGTTACTTCAATTTTGTAACTGGACGTTAGAGATAATAATAATAATACTAAATTTTATATCAGTGTAAGTATTTTACAAAATCATGTGAATTAAGTAAATCATGGCATATGCTAAACAGTCGCTATGGTACATCTTAATTTTGTTATCGCAATCCAGTTACCCACATACCATTATGTTACAATCAATGTAAAATGAATAATGCTAACCATCGATAGTCCGAAGATCCTGAACATAGTTTATAAACCTAGATACTATTAATTAACATTAGCTTCAGATTATCGTTTATAATAAACGAGTAAAAGAAACCCCAATTCTAGGTTGATCAGTATTCATTACAATATAAACAGTTACTTTCTTTCCAAACTGATCTGCCATGACAATTAAGAGTAACAATTTTCTCCTCTACTCAAAGTATTTTAATATGACAGGATTAAAAAATCGATTACAGTAAAAATATCAAAACGTTTACAACGTATATGACAACTAAAATAGAACCATGTTTTATGTTGATTATGTGTGTTAAGAAGTGTAAAAATGTTTTATGAATGCACTTCACCAGAGTTCATCAATGCTAAGGACTGACTTGAACATCATAAATACCAATACACATGATATCATATTGATATGATGGGATAAAATGGAGAAATCAAATTCTGACTTGTTGTAACTTTTGGTGAACATTACCTCCGTTTTTCTAAATCAATTTGATGAATATTAAGAATAATATTTAGCATTTGCAGCTAGACCACCATGGAAAACCTGGAAGCACTGAATGAACACTGCTGAGGATTCCCACAATAAGACGAAAATGTCATCCAGTTCTTTCAGGTTTTCCATGATGGTCTGGCTTCAATTGACTCATGATATCAATTATTAAAATTGCTACAATATTCACAAAAACCCCTTCTGATATTAATAATATTTATGTTTGTTTTTCAGTATGATATTTCATTCGTTAAAACGTTAATTTATTTAAGCATGGTGTTTATTAAAGATACGATATTCTTGTATTAAATTAACATGAAGTATGCTCAGCATGACATGTAGCATGTGATTCGTTATAACTTTGGGTATTTTCCATACATGTGATTTCGTCCTAATTATTAAATAAAATGGGTGTACAATGAAATATATAAACGAGTGTATTTTCGACTAGGGTCGTCGTCGTGTTTTGAGTTCAATAACTCTTCACTTGTACCAGTTTTTGTGTCCTTACTTCACGTCGTGGGTTATTGGAATGGTTTCTAGTTTTTTCAGGTATAAGTAGTAAGCTCTGTGGATACAGCACACCTATAATCTATTATTTTTGCTAACGGTCACACTAAACTTACGTGAATCCGGTTGATATTTCGTGACTTATTATGAGGTTTATCTAATTTATTTTCAACTTTCAAGTAATCACGGCATTATTACTAAACGGAGTGTAATGACAACAACAATTCCTACTTACCAATAAAAAGTCAGTATACACATATTTACTTTTAACTTCAAGAAAAGTGGAAGACTATTAAATCATTCTGTAAGGTGTCTCTAAAGAGAGCCGCTTCACGTTTTCTTGTTACGGATAATCAGTTTCTTAAAAACCTCTTTCACAAATTCGTGGAACCTTGGATGCAACAGATAGCCAATTCTCAAAAACAAACACAAACTACAAACATCCTATGTAATAACTTGATTACTACAAACACTGCAGCTCCGGACAGCAGTAAAAAGAGAATGTTCTTCATTTGATCTTCTACCAAACGACGAAACTATTCATTAATGAAGAACCTGCAGGAAATCAAGCTTACGGGTCATTAACGATCTGGTTACAGTGAGTAATGCATCTACCATACGAACATGAATGCAAGACCGACATCCACAACCAATAGCTTGGCTAATTTATTATATACACGGTATTTGGGACAAAATATCTTCGTCTTGATGAAGACGTTGTCGGCTGCTGACGATGTCTTTTCATTCTGCATACGTATTTATCATAAAAATCTCTCTCACTGCGATAGCTATCCCATATATCAAAATTAAATGAAGCTTGTTTCATGTAATGTGTTAATTGTCTGGCTGACTTTTCTAAATTTGGAAATCCAATACCAACAAACATCCCTAGAAAGACGTTCCCTGTTTCTCTGTTTGATATAGACATATGAAACGACACAAATGTGGTAATGAAATTTGTGAAATGATGCTCTCTTGAAGTTAATAGATTTTATGTACTTATTAGCCAGCTCTTCATTGGACGATGAGACCTACATCTTTCATTGGTACAAGAGTACGAGAGACAAAGGTACACGGAAATACAACTTCCCAACCAGAAGAATATAATTTCCGGAGACTGTTCATCATTCTTTTTATGAAAATAATGTTTTCAGAAATTCCCTGTTAATTGTTTCATTAGTATTTAATAATTTCTTTTCTTCAGCCACTTCACATTAATACATATGGAACTAAAACTACAGTGTTTAGGTGAAAACTCTTCACTCACTAATCATTTTAATCATGCTATACAATAGACGTAAAATTTAGTAAATTGTTAGTTCTCGATGAATAAATTACTAATTTAAAAGTAGAAAATTATGGGAAGTATAAAATGTGGAATGATTTAGATAGCAAGTTTAAAAGAACTAGTGTAATTTGTCATTAACTGTATTTCTGCAACAATCAGTTCAT